GTTGCAATTTATGAAGATGGGTGGGTGGGAGATAAGGGGATCGTTTGTTAGTGATTTATTTTTGGGTAAACGTCTGTTAGTGAATTAATGTGACGTAATGTGGACATTTGTTATATTTGTCTTTTTTAAATGGTTTGGACGATATTTTTTCCGCTAACTATATAATTTTCATTCAATTGAGAAACACAGCAATAGGAAAAAGGTCAGCGTTCCATTCACACACAAGCAAGAAGCAATCAAACTATATAACTTACTAATGGAGCCCGTGCGATGTATGGATTTTGTTAATCAAAATTCAAGTCGAGATTGGTAATATTTTTAGGTTTTTTATGCTAATAAAAAATATAAATTATTTTAAAAATAATTTCTATTTAATAATTTATTACTTTTCATCGAAAAGATTAAATCAATTAGACTTATAAAGCAAGGAATCTACGATGTTGGAAAGACATGATACTGCAAAGACTTTCACCAATTAAGAAGTTTTAGTTTGTTCGACAAAGGTCGGATTGGAGTTTTAGTTGCAGAGTCTGTTGAGAGTAACTTTAAGAGAGATGAATCTTCATTTCTAAAAGAAAAAAAAAAAAAAAGGGTGGGACTTCCTCCGCTGTTGCATTATATTGGTATTGTTTTCTCGAATTTATTGGCCTTTTTAATAAAAAAAGGTTTGAATATAGCCACTCTCAATCTTCGGTGGTAAGTCAAATTATTTCTTATATTTTTCTTGCTTTTTTGTTAAAAAAAAATAGGTAAAAGATGTAATCCCAATAGTCCATCCCATGTCCATGAGACTTGCATATGCACTCTCCTTTCACCCAAACTTACCCCTATGAGACGTTACACTTCTCAACCAACATGCATTCCCCATTTCCTATATCTTCTTCTCATTTTAGGGGTTATATGACACTCCTAGTTTTTAAAGGGGTGCTCTGTGTGTGGATGAAAAATTGGTGGGTATATTCCATACCCACTACAGTCCATAGTGGTTCTGAATTATGGATAAATTGTGTGGATTGAACTAGTCTATACCAACTGTGGTGTTTTATAGGTATTCCAAACCATACTTTTTTATTCCATGTATCTCATATACATTTTATGAGAGATCTACATAATTGATTATAAATGTCTAATTTTTGCATTTTATATGGTAGTAGAAAAAAATGCATCAATATGTAGACAATAATTGTATTTTTAAATAATTAAAAAATAGTATTTTAAACATTAAAAATAAAAAATTAATATTTTAAATATTCTTTTATTGATAAAAATATTAAAATTTTAATATTTAAATAATGAAAAAAGAGTTGAGAATGAGAACCATCGGACTTGTGCTAGAATTAACATTAAAAATTATTATTTTATTGATAATATTAAAAATTAAAATTTTAAAAATTATTAAAAGATTAAATAAAATGAGAGTAATTAGACTAATGTAACATAGGTGTGTTACACTAAAACCTTTCCACAAACTGTCCACACGATAATATGGATCATACACGAGAAAATATTGTGGACAATAAATTGGGGTATGGTTCGTCCCTGTTCACGCTATTTTGTCGACGGGGACCATTCACACATAGCAGAATATCATATCTTATCGTGAGCGGGACCAAAACCTCTTTTTTCCCAAAATATTGGTTGTGAGATTTGATTCTATGTCAATGCTGGAACAAACCAATTAATACACCAATGAGCATAATAATTGGACTTAAAGCATATTGAAATTCACTCTATGAACTTGAAGAAGAAATATATTTGAGTTGTAAGAGTCTAGAACTTAGAGAGTTGGATTGGAATTTAAAGAAGCCAGACAAGTAGCATCCTCGAGGACCTAACCTTTCCCGCTATAACCTTTCCCTAATGACTATGGAATGTCTAGGTGCAACACTTTTCTATTAAAAGTAGTTGTGATAATGCTTTCAGCTTTGCATAGCAACAACCCCGCACCGTACCAAAGATTTAAAAGTAGTAATGGAATAATTATTTAAATAATTAAAAATTATGAATTTGTATATAATATGATAGTAATTAAATAAAGGTAGGGCAAGGGCCTAGACCTACGCATGTGGCATAGCAAAGCACAATATGATATTGCATGACAAGGTTTTTAAAATTGGACTGGATAGGGAACTGTTCTGGGGTTCGATTCCCAAGTCGAGTGGTATGACCATTCGGTCCGAATGGACGGCCTATTTTGAGAAAAAATTAAAAAATAAAAATAAAAATTTTATAAAAACCAAAAAATGATTAAAATACCATTCCCGGGTCGAACGGTTCAATGGTTTGCTGACCAAATCAATAGGTTTTGGTCAAATAACAGTTTTGGGATAAAACGGAACCGAACAAGTAACCGGTTCCCAGTTTTGACGATCTGACCATCCGGTTTTGAAAACATTGCTGCATGACATGAAAAGTAGGCACACAAGTGTGTTAGCCCAGTCAAGCCCGACTTGACACGTGCATGTGGTGGTTTAAGTGCATTCTCTCAAGAAGCCTTAAAAACACAAACTGAAATCGGAAAGGAGTGCTATTTCTAGTCCATGTGGACTCCACTAGCAAACAAAACAAAAAAGAGACAAGGGACAAAAGGCAAACAACAATTTGCACACAAAAACCAAGAAAAAGTAATAACATTAATTAATATTAATTAATTTCAGTCTTTTACCAATTACTGTTAGTTAAACTATTATTATCAATTCATGTAACAAATCCCGTTTTAGTGCAATGCATAGAATTGATATGCTTTCCAACAATATGCTGGTGTGGGAAATTAGATTTATCCTAATACCATACCCTACCGATAGGAGTAGAAGTTGTAGAATCCCAAGGCTCGTCCTTCAAGCAAAAAAAAAAATTGACCATAATGGGGTGACTTGCATTTGATATGCAAGATATACATGAATCTAATACTACAAATTAACATGCATAAAGCAATACATGTAAAATTGTATATACTGAGAGTTCAATTATGATACGAGAAAGATATGATACTGGAAAATTTTACAGCCAATCAACTAATATCATAAAATAGGTGACCAATCAGGTGGAATTAATCAAAATTCATGGGGTGCTTTGATTGGTTAAGGATTTTCTGGTATCGTATCGTTAGGGTATCATAGATTTGGGAAATTATTGCAAACTAGGGTTCAACTATGATATAGGAAATATATGATATCTGAAGAAAAAAAGACCAATCAACTGGTATTATAAACATGATAGCCAATCAGGTGTTATTTATCAAAATTCATGAGGGGGCCATACCATATATATTTATGTAATATATATAAATATGGCCAAACTAACATATATAAATATTCAAGTATTGCAACTGGCCAACTGTTAATAATTTAATATTCAGCTTTTGTATTATATGATTACATTGAAAAATAATTTAATACAAAAAAATTGTGATGAGTATGCATGAATCCTTGATTCCATATTGACCCGCATCGATTCAATACAAAGAAGCAGCTTTGATAATTGATATATTGGGATTCACAGCGGGCATACCATGCTCCTAGGCCCAAAAGCTGATACATGTTAGTCCATGTCGGTTGTATCAATATTGACACTTGGAACCTTGTTATCGTATATGAAATTTGCCACATCATATACTATCATGGTGTTGTCCTCCAGATGATAATGTTCCATAAACAAGCAACATGAAGAAAGGATCATTTTCTCCCTTGTGTATTGGACAAACTAGCATTCTCCTCTGCATTCCAGTTTTATCAAGTGCCTGAAAACAAAAAAAATAATAATAAAAACAATAATACGGTCAGCTGCTTCTTGGGTAGAATCATTTTATTTATCAATGCTTACATGAAAGCAGAAGTTAGCGTGCATTCAAATGCTTGATTGTGTATTTCAAATGCAAGGCAATAAAATGATGGTGCTAAAATCATTTTATTTGGTCAACGTATATTAAGAAATTTGCCAATTCTAGAAGGTTCAAAATATCGATACTGTGTCGGCCAGTATCAATCCTTTTTTTTAAGTTTCGCTTTATTTCAATTTTGGTTCAGAGGGGCCGGTTTAAGTGCCGGCTACCCTCTAAACCAGGACCTGACCTGATACAACCTCTGTAGGGGCGTATTGGGAAGGACCTGATACAAGACGTATCAGCTAATACATAACGATTTTTTGAACCTTATCTAGAACTTGGATAGATCTTGTTAAAGGACTCAAGGGAACAGAAAAGGGAGTAAAGCTGTATGTATAAAAGAAAAGGAATGAAACATAATAAAAGCCTAGCGTAAAGAGTAAACCAGATGCAAGGAGGGACATATGGGTATGATGTCATGTAACCCCAACGGCCCAACCCCTGCCTATACTGTCTTAGCCAAGGTTCTAAGGCTAGTACGTTTTCCTAAAAGAGAGAAAATTGTTTAACAAATATATGGAATTTTCATACGAGGATGCAGCCTCTACTAGTCTGTTTTATGTACTGCATGGGACAGGGGGCCCATGGAGGGAGAAGCAAATAAGGGGAGACGGGAGAAGATGGCAACCCTGGGTCCCCCTACACATCCATAGAGAACAAGTAATGCATTTACTTGATAATAGAAATTCCTCTTGACAAAGCTTAATGCCTATTCTTTGAATAAAAAGCTTAATGCCTTTTCTTTGAATAAAAAGCTTAATGCCTTTTTAACTACAGAAGCAATAAGATAGACGCCCCGCCATTGGTAAACTTATAATCCAAACAACTTGTCTACAGTGAAAGGCCCTTTTCAAATACTAAACTTCATGACTTTTATCGTGGATCCTAAGCTCATCTCTCGTTCAACAATGCAAAAGAAATAAGCATCTTATTCTTTAAGAGTGGGTGGCAGAAGGCTGAAAAGGGAGGGAGGAGGTGGTGGGGAAGTCATCTATGTATCATGTGCAAAATGCATAGCCATACCAACCTGCCAAGGTAATATTTATAATAATATATCACCTCGTTGCAGCAAATGCATGCATTCTACAATTTACTCTAATGGCATTCGATGGCAAAATAGCAAAACACAAAGTACTACATCTAATTTATCCTCGGAAAAGTAAAATATACCAGATATCTCTACATTACATGAGTAAAGTTGAAGACACGATTAGTAGCATCAATCTCTCGAGGAGAAAATGCATAAAACAAAAATAAAAGCCAGAAGATACGAGGCCATACTTCATAAGTGCTACCGGCGTGGCATTGCTAACGGTTCTCAGTACTCAGTTCATACGTGCTCACTATCCTAAAGTCCTAACGTAGTAGCGTAGAGAGAGAGAAAAACAAAGCCACCAATCATCCCTCGTAGATGTATGTACGGTTCGAAAAAACAAAAAAGAAAACATAGCGAAATCGGATAGTCCTACAAGTGCTCAGTCGTTCGTCGAATGGTATCTGTATGACTCGTTCGTTTATTCGATAACACGCACTGACGCACACCCTCACAAGTCACAATTCCAACTTTTCCCCGACTCAGTGGTATTGGATTTGCACTCGGTCCTCTCGTCCTACAAAGAAGCCGTCCGTTCAGAACCATTTCAGTTTCAGCTATACTATTTTATTCCGTAATGCAGTCAGTCAGTTCAGTTCAGTTCTTCAGATCCAACGTCCACCAATTAAAACAACAAATAAGTAAAAGCATTTATCACCTGAAAATCGGATTACTCAACGCCTGCCACGAGGCCCACCACCTGACCTCGGACCAGGATAGCGAGCATATTGCAACCTTAAATTTGCCGAGTCACGATCTTGCTCATCAAATTTATAACCTGCAAAATCGAATTGGACAGTTTTACCCTGCGAAACTCGCGTATGGGACTATTATTATTAGGGGCATCAAACACGCAAACATGACAGCAGACGCCGGCCGTCTTCTCTTCTCATATCAACAACCACATTCAACCCAATTCGGGTCGACTTGGCTATGGCTGAGTTTCCCACTGCCACGTCATTCGCTTTTTTCATCCACGTCACTGCTTACATCTTCTCTAAGAGCAGAGCCATCTATCTGCTATCCATTCTCAGAACCAGGTAATAAGATATCTTACCCTTCTCCATTATTCATGATTCATGCTACTTTGCCATTGCTTAGAGAGGGAAAATGCAACATATGAGGACAATAATGACAGGGAATAGAAATATATGGGCGTACTGGTTCACTTGAGTCATGAATAGAGTTACTAGGACCAAACATCCAAATGAGAGCTGAAGAGCACCTGGCTTTGTTGCTAATTTAACCAGGATTAAGCTCCCCTTACCAAGACGATGTGTAATTGTCCCATTTCAATCGTCTTCTGATGTACCAAGTTCGGTACCCTGCTAAAAACCCATATCGGGAGTCGGGACAAGAAGAAAAAACAGATAAACTACTGCTACAAGCATCAAACAGCATCGGGTTATGTTAGTGCTGGTATGTGTATGGTTTGTCAGGTTAAGAAACAGCGCCAGACATTCATCATAGAAAACGCTCTTCAGACGGAAATTTACACCTTTAGTTCACTTAATTGGTTGGTTTTAGTAGTACCTACAGAAACGGTTGGTTTCATGGATTATAGCCTGCGTGATAGCAAAGGACATCTAAAATACTGAATAAACAGAGCTCCCACTCCCACTCCCTCCTGTATTATATGTCTCACTTTCACAGTTTTACTGTCCATCAATTGCCTGCTGGGAGTAGTCCCCCTACATCCAAATATTGTCTACAGAAAGAAGTATGACTGACTCTGTCTCCAAGTCAATTATAATCAATGGCATGGTGAGCATCATTAAAGTAGTGGAACTTGTGAAAAAATGCAATCAAAAGATAATTTTAAAAGGAAAGCACAATAGATAGGTTCAAGAGAAATATTGCAAAGATGTATACCTGTATAGCTTCTACTGTAATAATTAAAAAATGGGAGCAAGATGGATATGAAATTACATATGGTGCTAATATTCCAAAAACTTGAAGGGAGAAAAAAATGAGCATGTTATGTTCACCTTGTAGAGCATCTAATGCAATTGCTGCCTGGCTTGGAGTAGCAAAATCAACAAAACACAGGATAAGTGGTTCTCCTCCAGGCTGCAAGAATTAAAAAGAAATGAATCTACAAATCATTGGCTTCTAAATAACAAGCCGAGACAAAGTTACCTAATTCACTAGAAGAGTGCTTGATTAACTTATTTGTTACAGGTAGCTATACAACATGGTTCAACAAATTTGCTTATCTCTTCTCACTTCTAACCTCTACTGATTAAGTGAATTGTCCAATTTAAGGCTAAATAGAACTCTTCCTTATCTCTTCTCAATAAAGAATGAAGATTAATTAGGGAAACTCCAAATTCTGGTAAAATATCAGTAAGTTGTTTCTACCATTTTGGCTATAAAACTTAATGATGTTTACACTGTTCAATTAAATTTTTTAATTTATTTGTATACAAACTCAAATAATTCTGATTATGGCTGAAGTGTAAATAAAGGCAAGCAAACAGAATGGAATAGACCCCAACTTGAACCAAATGAACAAGCTAACCAGTTTGGCATAGCTCTTCACACATAGGAAAAATAACTTACATGTTTAGACTCCTTGTTCACAAGTCTCACTTCTCTATATCCCACAAAAGGTCGGAAGATATCTGCAAATTGAAGTGAAGGAGCAATAGAGAACTTTGGACAAAATAAATGAATTACCAGGGGAGGAACCAGGTCACTTCTAGAAGGATACGAGATACTTCCCTGCGGGTACAGTTTGCAGGCAAACCCTCCACAAATAATGTGTTTGAAGCATCTGGGGGAAGAGGCATCTCAGGCCTACCACCACCAAATCCCATATTTCGGCCTTTTCCAGCAACGGTTGAGTCCATGCTTCCAACACCTAATATACGTTGATCATCAACAGGACGACTGCTTATTGCACCCATGGATCTTCCAGATTCACCACTTTCATATGATGAAAGTTGCTGAGGCAGAGAGAACTTTGTTAGCCTCAAAAATAATTTGACTCGAAATGGATGAAAAGATGGGAGAAATTCAATAATTCTAATATTAATCAGTAACACATACTGTGCTGCGCAAGTAACGCTCATAGGATGCTTCAATTGATTCAGTGTCTCTAACCACACGATGTGTGCCCCTTTCATCATCACGAGGATAATATCCAGGAAAGTCAAGCCCACCAGGGACATCTAAAAAAGTTCTCAGAATCAGGTCTCAGAAAATTAGTGAAGGGGAAAATATAAAAATACAAAGAGAAAAAATCAGATGAACAAAATGTAAATCAATAGAGGCATCTATAGTATCCAAATCTAGACCATATAGCATCTAGTGTCCTTTTTAACAACACATAACTTCAACACTAAGGAAAATAATTGTCGGGCAGCATATGTTAAGGGAAGATGAAAACCAAGCTTTGACCATAAAACATGGAACATTGGCAAATAAAACTAGTATATCATTGCCAGGAGCCAATTAACAATCATATTGAATAGAGAGCATGGGGTAGGACACAAAACAGCCAGTTGAAAAGCATCATTACTTAGAAGGATGACTTGGGTGTATAGGCCACTTGGTCCGCAAGCTTATTGGAAAATTTGTGAGAATTGATAAATATGCTTAAAAAGGATTCCTGCAATTGCAGGATATAACCCTGAGCTTGAACTAGCTGCCATGTAAGCTAAAGTAGCACAAGATACCACTTCAGCTTCAAATGGAACCCTAAAAGCAACAAAATTAAAAGACCTTCCATCGTTATGCCCAGATTTTCTTGCCCACATTTGCACCCGCAGCACCCCATTTATCATACTTTTTTTCCAATTTCCCTCGCTAAGAAACAAGGAAATTCAGATCCTAGTTGCCTAGCTCTTCGACCAGAAAGATCTCAACTGTCTCACAATCTTAAGGTCCTAAATCAATCGAGATCAAACAATACAAAATATAATTTTTCAGAACGGCTTTGTGTTGTACGACAAATTAGAAATAAATCCATCAACAGAAGAGATGCCGAGAAACTCATGAACCCTTTAGATGGTAGTTCTCAATTTAAAAAACTAAAATTACAAAAAAAAGAACAAGAAAAACCTAAAGATTCGAGGTCCTATTCATCCTAGGGATTTCAGAATCGAAAAAGGTTCTTTTACTTAAGATGAAACCCTAATTTAAAACGAAATGAGGGACAGAAACTTAAATAGATGAATGAAGTTGCTTAAATAATAATAAGATTGGAGTGGATTGGAAGTAATAGTTTGTTACCGTAGTCGGAGCGAGATCGCTTCCCGCTGGCGAGAGGAAGCATGGCTGACTGCTGCCGTCCATCTCCATACCTCCAATAACCATCCCCCATATCTGATACGATTCGAAGACGAGACAATACAGAGTGAAGAAATGGGGAGAGAAGGAACTGAGCTTCCTTCGTGCTGATCTCTTTTGGATTGCCCTCCAATCTTATGTCATGATCAAGAGGTCCAAGACAGAATTCTACAGGGGAGATCAACCGGCTACAGTGGGAGTCTTGGAGAGAACGCTAAAGGCCTTTTTTGTCATTTTAGAACATTTTTTGGTTAAGCTTGTCATTTTACTGGGGGTGCGGGTTGAGTCGGGTTGAAGGTCAACCCAGGCCCAACCTTAAAGTGGAAAAACCTCGGGTTCAGGCCAACCGTATGAAAACCTCGAGTTCAGCATAGCCCAACCCGACGTTAAGTCCGAATTTAAAAATCCAGGCCCAACTCGAGCTTAACCCCGCACAAATCCGGACAATCAACACAACTAGCGGTGTAAACGGATCGAATTCGAATCGGATCAAGCAATATCCGAATTCGAATTTGATTTAATTCGAATTTAATTAATTAATTAATTTAGATAATTAATAAATATATAAAATAAATATTTTATTGATAAAAAATATATAAATTATTTATATAACTTAATTATTATATATATGAATTAAATAATCGATCGAATTTGAATATTTATCGAATCGAACTAGATCATAACCGAATTCGAATCCAATTAAATATTCAGTAAGAATAGGATATCCGAATTCGACTAATTAGGCATTCGAATTCGATTCGATTATGTTGAATATCAAATTCGAAATTGGATTTTCGAATACCGTTGACACCCCTAAACACAACTCAGAATGGGTTCAGGGCTTTGGGCTCGTTGCTCATGTTCAATTGGTCTAGGCTTATACGGGTTGGTTATATTTGAAATAATTTATGAATATACTTTTGCATAGTGTTTTTGAACCATCGTTTACCCAAACAATTGGATTGTCGGCCCAGAAACCGTCCAAGCAACCAGTTTTGTTTCACCCTTAACCCGTTCCTAGGCCAAAACCCATTGACTTGGTCAGAGAATTGCTGACCCGGGCGATTGAAATGTCAACCCATTTGACCCAAATAATGGTTTGTGAGTACAACAAAAAGAGAGAAAAACAACCTTAGGTCTAAGACAAGAACGATCTCAGATCTGAGATCCAGATACATACAGTAGAGAGAAGAAAAAGAAGAAGAAGAAGATTGCAAAGATTGGAGAGTGAAGATAAATCAGATCTCAGATCTATGTTTCTATTGTCAATTTGTCACCACAATTGCCATCACCATTACCATTGCCAATGAAAGTTGAATCCTCCTCTTCCTTCGTCCTTCCTCCACCTCTTCCTTCTTCCCTCATTCCTTCTTTTCTTTCCTTTCTCTCCTTCATTTCTTTTTTTTTTTTCTTTTACTTCTTCCTTTCTTTCTTTTTTCTTTTTCTTCTTCCTTTCTTTCTATTCCTTCTTTTCTTCTTCTTTCATTCTTTCTCAGCCCACAGCCACACTCTTTCTCATAAAAACTAAAAGAGACTAACCAACACTTGCCCTAATAATATAAACCATTCAAACCTTTCGACTCAGATGGTTGAACCGTTGACCCGAAAACCGGTGGCTACAGCGGTTCCATTTCTAAGTCAGTTTTTAAAACCTTACTTCTACATAAGTATCTTAAATTGAGTATTATAATCCGATTTAGGATTTGTCAGGAAAAAAAACTCAATTTAATAGTAGAATTGAGGGCTCAATCGAAGTCGAACCCAAATTTAGGTCACGCCAAATTCATTAGCTTAGGATAAAGCCCGTAGTCCAAAAACTCAAGTCTAATTTATATAAGAACCCAGGTTGGGTCAAGTCTAATTTGGATTACTACCCAAGTTGAACCCCTACATTTTACAACTTCAAAAGCAATCTTTTGAGTCATGATGAGCTGAAAACAAAATCACACACCAAGATAGACAACCTAACACAAGTGAATATGTATACATGGGGCTCACATGAGATTCACACTAATGCATATAGAATGTTCACTCGTGATAGGTTGCCTACCTAGCTCAATGTGTGTGATTTTTGTCTCCATCCAATCCTGACCCGACCTTTTTAACTAATTACCAAAGTTACAAAATGCCCTTAAAAAATAAAATAATCTTTTGTTTCTACTAATTAGCTAGGATTAACCAAAAAGATGATCCATTAAAAATTATAAATCATAAACAGAACATATGATAAATTAAGATATAATGAGAGGTTTGGAAGAGGATTCTCCCCCACCCAATTTTTTTTTGAATTGTTTTACTTGTTGTATTCTCCAAAAACAAATTAAAACCATCTAGTTTGAGAACAAATCAGTTCTTAAAATAAACACATAAAGCATGTTATTGCTTATATGTGTTTTTTGTTTTCAAAATCGAAACCAACCATGTGTTCTTAAAACTAGTTTGAGTAAAATGTTTTCATCTAGTTATTTAATATCAAGAGGTGGTCGTTATCGACCAAGAATAATATGGTAGTGGTGAGGGCTTGAGATTGAAAAAGAGCAATCCAATTCCAACATCTAAGATATAGGAGAAAAGTTTTGAAGACTCACCAAGAGAAATGAGCAGTGATAATGGCCTCATTCTCTTGGCAATGACAACTGATAAGTTGGAGAACCTTGAGGAACCGAAGAATGACAATGCTGGCAAAAATCATGTACATTTTTGCTAATTCCGATGTAATTTGTTATAGAACCAGATGATGAAGAACACATATTCGATGAAAATTTCAATATGGAAGTAGAGAAGGAGCAATACGATCAAGAAAAGGAAAGTACTTAACAAACATCAAGAAACAAGAATACAAAAGGTATCAACTAAGCACGCCAATGAAAAAATCAAATTTGTTCTACCTATTATCGACACCTATTTTTTGCTCGACTTTCTCCCAAACACCCTAATCCATACCCCCGATCAAACTGTTTTGATCTCCCAAAAAACCCTAAGAGGCCAAATCTTAGCCCAAAATCCTCTAGATCCACCGTTGAGCCCATTCAATCCTAAGCCAACAGTCTTGATCAAACCCCATCCACACTCTAACCACTAAATCAAATTCAACCATTTAATTCAAAACCCTAAAACACCCATTTAGACCAAATCCTAGCCTTGAACCCAGGATCCCACAATTTATCTATTAAAGATTACATTTTGACACACTCCTTTAAAGCTTAAAAGTTGCCTAATGATGTCTGTTTGTCCTGTAGCTATAGTAGTTCGAACCAGGAGAAGAGCAGAAGAAGAAGAGAACAATTGAACTTAATATGGATTAGCCTCTAATTAGTAGTACAAAGACTAAATTACCCCCACTTAAGTATGGGATAGGAAGTCTCTATTAAAACTGTCATATAAGCACATAATTTAACAGAAATAAAATGACTAATCTACCCTTATTTGGCTAGCTCTAACACTCCCCTCAAACTGGAGAATATATGTCATATAATCCTAGCTTATTCCTTATCTCTCCAGTAAGGACCTTCTCCCTCACAAAGTGGCAATCAATCTCTATGTGCTTTGYTCTCTCATGAAARACWKGGTTRGATGAGATGTGGAGTGCAACTTGATTGTCACAGTACAATTTCATAGGTCTATCCATGGAGAACCCGATTTCTTGTAGGAGATTCCTCAGCCATACTAATTCACATGTAGTGTGTGCCATGGCTCTGTATTCGGCTTCAACACTGCTCCTTGCCACAACCGTTTGCTTCTTACTCTTCCATGTCACAAGATTTCCTCCAAGAAATGTGTAGTCACCTGTAGTAGATCTTCTATCAGACATAGAGCCTGCCCAATCTGCATTTGTATACCCAATTATTTCAAGTCTCCTCCTAGTTTGTACAATAACCCACGGCCTAGAGCTCCCTTTAGGTACCTTACAATTCTAAGAACTGCATCCCAGTGAGGTATCCAAGGGTTCTGCATAAATTGGATTACCACATTGGCTGCAAAGGAGATGTCTGGTCTCGTGATAGTCAAATAGTTCAGCTTCCCCACTAACCGTCTATACCTTCCAGGATCATCAAATATTTTCCATGTATCACTGCTTAACTTAGCATTTGGCTCCATGGGAGTTTTAGCCGGTTTTGCACCTAACAGTCATGTTTCATCCAACAGATCAAGAACATATTTTCTTTGGCACAGGTTTATACCTTGTCTTGATCTAGCAACTTCTATACCCAAGAAATACTTCAATGTCCCAAGGTCTTTTGTTTGAAAATGATTTTGCARAAAGACCTTTRGTTTATCGATYCCCAATTTGTCACTACCAGTTATGACAATATCATCAACATAGACCACTAATAAAATCTTTCCGGCTTCTGGATCATAGCTGAACACCGAGTGGTCAACCTGGCATTGTTTCATTCCAAAATTCTTCACCACTTCACTAAACTTCCCAAACCAAGCACGAGGCGATTGTTTCAACCCATAAATTGCCTTTTTCAATCTGCACAGCTTACCATCCTCCCCCTGAGCAACAAACCTAGGTGGGTTGCTCCATATATACCTCCTCCATAAGGTCACCATGAAGGAAGGCATTTTTAATGTCAAATTGAAACAAGGGCCAATCATACATAACTGCCAGGGAAATTAAGACACAAACAGAACCAATCTTAACCACTAGAGAGAAGGTTTCCATATAGTCCACCCCATACAACTGTGAATAACCTTTAGCAACAAATCTAGTCTTCAGACGTTCCACACTATCATCCGGCAAGTATTTAACAGTATACACCCATTTACAACCCACTACATGCTTATCAGGAGGAAGAGTAGTGAGCTCCCACGTTTGAGTATGCTGAAGGGCAGAGAGTTCCTCCTCGATTGCCTGCCGCCACCCAGGTGAGCTAAGAGCCTCTTGGACATTCTTAGGCATAGAAATAAATGACAACAGTAAAACAAACGGGAGATGTGAAGCGAAAAGGCAAGAGACTGAAACAAAATTGGAAATGGGATGGAGGGTACAACTACGTTTACCTTTCCGTAAAGCAATGGGAAGATCAAGTCCTAAAGGTTCTGGGACAGGAGAAACAACAGGATCTGCGGACAAGGTAGAAGCTGGAGGAGGAACTGGTGTCTGTCGATGAGTATACACATGTCGGATCGATGGTCGTTCAGTAGGGATCTGCACTAGAGGAGGTGAAGGGTCAACCCCAAC